ACAGCTGTCACTTCTCTCTAAACTTTTAGATACCTCTACTCTGTACTATTACGTGTGGATTTTCTTCCACTAGACAGCATACTCCCCAGTTTGTATAGTCTTATTCAATGTTTTCTTCCTCAAAGTCAAGCACAAGACCTGCCAAGTAACAAAGACCCAATATACCTGTTGGCTTAACCTACTGGAGTAAGTACCTACCCAACAAAACTAAGTTACGCTCCACTGTCTAGATACTTTGCTGTCCACTCACTAACAAGTAGCAGCTACCTACCTTAATACTACTCTCCAAGGCAAACCAAGAGCCACCTCTCAAAACAACTTTATAAATCACTAAGATGTGTACAATGTTAAGATAAAGTGAAATTAAAAACCTGAAATGATCTTTAAAATTACATTTAAAACACTACCAATACACAAAAAGTTCTAAGTACATTTTGAATGGCCTGTAGTCAATCTAAACTGAGGAAAGTTAAAAAATTTAACCCCTGAAAGGAAGGCACAGCTAACAGTACTGTATAGCTTCGAGTGCTACTGGCAAATGCATCTTGCTTTTTGAAGTTATTTCAGCAAAATAACACATGGCTGGTCTGCAATAAAATATTAAAACTACTTAATAGTAAAAGAGGCAAGTTATTTCTTTCTTTTTTTTTTGAGGCAAGTTATTTCTAATAGTAATATTTTCAAGTTTAATATCCTGTAGCCAAGTTTTTATTTTTATTTAAAAAAAAGAAAAATGAGGGCAGCCCGGGGGGCTCAGCGGTTTAGTGCCGCCTTCAGCCCAGGGCGAGATCCTGGATACCGGGGATCAAGTCCCATGTCGGGCTCCCTGCATGCAGCCTGCTTCTCCCTCTGCCTGTGTGTCTCTGCCTCTCTCTATGTCTCTCATGAATAAATAAATAAAATCTTTTTTAAAAATTAAGTTAAAAATGATGCTCTTTATAAAAAAGTGGTAGAGAAGCAGGAGTCTTCAACTTGCACACCAAATGAACCCCCTCTTTCATATGCCACAAAGGCAAATGAGAATCTTCCATAGGTTTACCTTCCAGAAAGAATAAACCTTCAGGAATAAAAATTAAAAAAAAAAAAAAAAATGAAAACTGCGCTTTCAGAAAACCAATCCAACAAGATAGGAAATTTTTAAAAACATCAAGTCATATTCAAGGAACAGGGCTACAAATACTCAAATTTCTAAGAGTATCAATCAACAGAAGTTGTAATTCCACTCTCCATCCAAAAAGACAACTTTTCACCCATAAAACTATCCACCTTATATTTTAAGATAAGGTTACAGTCACACCATAACAAATTTTCACTCAAAACTGGAAACCATGAAGAACCTAATTTTCAAGATTTGTGTTTATTTAAATGTTACATATTTTCAGGTACCAACAAAAGAGTGTACACAAGCAGTAATAAATACCTAAGGATCACAAGCCTTGAATGTATCTTCATTTTACTTATTTCTTAAAAGTGAAATGTTTTTGTTAATCAGGAATTAAAACGGTTCCCTAACCAATTTAGCACTAACTGTCCAAAGAAGCCAGCACTCTCTTCTACCTGCTTGTAAATTTACCTAACCCAGTTTTTGACAATATGGCAAAAAAGAAACGCTGTCAAAGACGGAAATAACAGGGCACGTATTGGGGCGCCCAGGGGGCTCAGCGGCTGAGCATCTGCCTTGGCTCAGGGCCTGATCCTGAGGCCCCAAATCGAGTCCTGCATCGGGTTCCCTGCATGGAGCCTGCTTTTCCTCTGCCTCTCATGAATGAATAAATAAAAATCTAAAAAAAAAACAAAAAACAAAAAAAAAAAAACAAACAAACCAGGGCACATAATTCCATTATATTAGCAGTATAACCCACACAGGACATGCAGAAGTAAAGAAAATATCACATTCTCTTCATATCTTCATTTTGCTGTGCAAGCAAATAAAATTCTTAAAATCAAAATATTAATCTTTATAAATTAAATTCTAAGCAATTATGTTTAACAACTTTCTAAGGGAACAGTTATTATCTCTTTTCCCAAAATCAAAGCTACAACATGATACTAACAACCCTTTCCTCTAAAGCAGTATTTCTGTCTGGTGATAAACAGAAATAAATGCATAGAAAATAATTATTATTAAAGCACATCAAATAATTTTGCCATCGTCAATTTAAAAAACTCTGCATATTGGGATCCCTGGGTGGCGCAGCGGTTTAGCGCCTGCCTTTGGCCCAGGGCGCGATCCTGGAGACCCAGGATCGAATCCCACGTCGGGCTCCCGGTGCATGGAGCCTGCTTCTCCATCTGCCTGTGTCTCTGCCTCTCTCTCTGTCTCTCTGTGAGTATCGTAAATAAAAAAACTCTGCATATTGAACATTTTGTTTTTTAATTTATTTTTAGTGAAGTACAATTGACATACAAAAAAATTGTTTCAGGTATACAACATAATGACTTAGTATCTGTACATATTACAAAATAATCACAATAAGCCTAATTAACATGTCACCATGCAGAAGTTTTTTTCTTGTGATGAGAACTTTCAAAATCTCTTAGCAACTTTCAAATATGCAATACGGTATTATGAACTATAGTTACCATGCTGTACATTACATTCCCTGGTACGTTTTTAAAGTAATATTTTCCTCAATGTGCAGAACTATGATTAACAAACATCCCAACCTATATTAATGGGAATTCAACTACCAAAAAAGAGCATGAAACAGAAGAATCTGTTCATTCCATCTGTATTGTAGAATGTCACTTATCTGCTCTCCAAGAAGAAGGAAAATCAAACCAGAGATCAAAGGCTAGAAATTCCAAATATTTGCCAAAATGATCTAATACTCCAATAAATTCTAGACTTTTATATGAGAAACAGAAAGCAGCAATCTGGGCAGTCATTATATGATAGTTAGTGACTTTGATTCTAACTAAACCTTAGATTAGAATTTAACCAACATTTTGAAAAGTAAGCACTTTTTATTTCCTCTAAGGACAAAAAAAGGAGAGAGGAAAAAGGAACTAAGATTTATTATGTACTTTATAGACATTAATTCGCTTAATCCTTACATCAACTCTATAAAACAGAGATTACATCCATATTACAAACGAGAAAAGTGAAGCTCAAGAGTTTAAGCAACTTGCCTTAATATCGCAAATACGCTTATCAAGATTTAAATCCAAATGTCTTTTGCTTGTTATCAAAATCCATAATCTTTAACTGCGTCATGCAGTCCTCCACATTAATGGAGAGTATCACATTGGTATCATCTGAGTCCTGAGATACTCTGATTCCTTTTACGACATGAACTGTAAATAATACAGTTCTTAATAGCATGAACTGATGATAATCTAAAGCAATACACAAATCGAAAAGATTTATTACTGGAAGACCCAACAATTTACCTATAGGAACAGCCACACATTCAGGACCACCAGAGGTACTACTTTAGAAGGATGAACATATACATTAAAATGTTTTCAAGGTATCCAAGGCATCGAGTAGGAGATACTTAAAATATTACCTTGAGAAGAAACTAAAATTGCGCGGCTTATGCTCGAACTATTACGCGTGCAGTAGCTTTAGCAACGGTTCCCTAATAGCAGCAAGCAGGGCTGTTTTTGTATATCTTTGAGAAAGTGGCCTGAGCGATGTACCCAACTATGCCCCTCCAAGCCGGCGGAAGCAGTGCTGCAAAGGGAAGAAACTGACAAGGAGTAAAAAGCAGGGACGTAGAACAGCCGAAACTGACCCTCTACCATAGTTTCCACAAAATTAAAGGATGAGTGTGGTAAAGACATTACTGATCACAAACTAATTCCGAACCACCATTCACAAAATGGCATAAAGGGTGTGATCAGAAACTGACAAAGCTCTTATAAAATGGGTTGTTTCTCACAGCAAACTAGAGGTAGGGCTCGCCCGGTCCACCGTAAACCTAACTTCCTAATAACCGATTTAGGATCATACATGCTCTGCAAGATGGTAACAGCCCCTGGAGCCTTGAGCGGTTATGCAACTTCCTGCACTAGTACCGAAAAAGCTTAAGAACTACCCCGGGGCAGGATCTATTTATTACCTGTCATATCGTCTTGGAGATGAGAAACTCAAAGGAAAAAAAAAAAAAGAACTTAAGGACCGGCCCAAGATGGCAACGAAGAAGACCTGATGCTGGCCACCCACCTAACCTACCGCTAAACTACTTCTACAGCCCAATGGTTTTCTCAGTACTTGCACATGGTTCCCTGTGGCCTCAAAAATGAATTTAACAGTCGGTCTTAAGCGGCTTCTAAGGGCTTGGGTGGAACACACAACCTGGTGGTGCAGGGGACCCCGAGTCCTTGAAAACCTACCCTCAAAAGAAGGGCTCGTTTGATACTTCCTCGTAAGTGAGATAAGACCACGTGTGGGGCGCAGCTTTAACCTTGGCGACGCAGCGCTGGCAGGCGAGAGCCGCTCCCGCCTCTGCACTTCCCACACCTCGCGCGCCCCTCCACCCTCGGCCCTCCCCTCACAACGTGCAGCCCGAGCTGTTGTTACTTATTCCCCGGAGGGCAAGAGGGAACCTGAGGGAGACCGGAAGCGTGGCGAGATCCAAAAAGCCGTAGAACTGAGGGAAGGGAGGCAAACGCTCAAGCACCGGGAGGCGATTCCCGCCTCTCCCCAGGCGCTGTCCGGCGGCCTCAGGGCTCAACAAACAGGAACACACGGGCGCGTTTTCCCGGCTTCGAACCTCAATCTAAATCCCTGATTTCGCTCCAATGCCAAACGCAGGCCGAGCTACTCACGCCACCCAGCCCGGGCCCGCGGGTCTCGAGCCGAATCCAGCCTGGGACTGAGGGGAGATACCAGGCCTCTCAACCTGCGCACCACAGTGCGTCGGCGGCGGGGCCTACAGCCGCGGCCAGAGCGCCGACCCCCATTCCAGGCTCCTCCGGCTGGCCAGAAGCGTCCGTAGGCTCCAGATGACGGCTATACACTCACTGACTTACGAAGTCCTCTAGGAAATTACCTTCGAACTGGCCTTCTGAGATCCGCCTGGCGTTTTGTCCGCCATCTTGAGCTTCGCCCCTCCTTCGGCGGCCGCAGCAGCACGGGCGAGTCGAGCGCCGAGAGAGCGGATCTCGGCGGAGCCCGCCAGAGGCGCCTGCAGGACTGAGGAGTCGACTGCCGAGATAGGGAAGGCGGGCGGAGCTGTGCCACGTGACTTCCGGTGTCAGCAATTTCCCCGGCCCAGACCGCTTTGCGCGATTTCCGGGGTGTTCCCGGGGCTCCGCCTTTCACGTGGTTCCGGGATTTTTGGAGCGTCTCCTCGTGCTGACCTTCAGGACCGGCTGAGGTTTCACTTGTTTCCCGGCGCCAGCCCCTGATAGGCGCGAGCCAGTTGAATTTCCTGGGTGAGGAGGGAAAGGATCCTTAGAGAAGATACGCGCTGGGGTCCGGGGGGCGGGGGGGGGGGGTCCCGCGCTCAGCGGCCCAAGACGGGTTTTGCGACAGCCCCGGAGCTTACCCCATAGCGCGCGAAAGGCGAACTCGCCATTTGCTCTACGTTACTTTTCGCATGGAACGGTGCCTGGAAAGTGGAGAAAAAGGAGCGTTTGACCCAACCTGAGAATCCAGCAGTGGAGTTTCCGATGGACTGTTCGGGGATCTGCAAAATGGGTACCTGCAGGGACGGAGAATGAGAGAAAATCATAAGTAGACGGTATTGTAAATCCAGCGCACTTGTAAGCTCTGTGTCATTCAAAATTGCATTTCATGGTTTAGTATTGTTTTCTTTTTTTTTTTTTTTAGGATTTTATTTACTTATTCGTGAGAGGCAGAAACACAGGCAGAGGGGGAAGCAGGCTCCACGCAGGGAGCCCGATGCGGGACTCGATCCTGGGTCTCCAGGATCACGCCCTGGGCTGAAGCTGGCGCTAAAGCTCTGAGCCATCCGAGCTGCCCTGTTTGCATTTTTTTTAATCACACAAATGGAGGGGATCACCGTAAGCTTTTCTGTACCTACTACCTTTTTAAAGTTCTTAACAGGATCTGTATTCAAAGAAGGAACACTTGGGGTGCCTGGGTGACTCTGGGTTAAGCCGCTTCCGACTCTTGATTTCAGCATAGGTCTTGATATTATAGTTGTGAGTTCAGGCCCCGGAGATGGGCTCCACACTGGGCATGAAGACTACTTTAAAAAGGGGGGGGGGGGGGACTTGCTTAAGAAGATCTTGCCTCAACTGAGCCAGGTAAGGAAAATGAAAAGGGCATTCCAGGTAAAGGGAGTAGTTGAACTAAAAGCCTGGTGACGGGAATCATAACAGCCGGTAATGGTGCAGTCACCATAAGCAGTCAAGTTTTACAAGAAGGTATAGAGAGGGTCATGGCTAGAGAGATGGGTGGGAGTGCGTTCACATAGGGCCCTGAATGAGCAGGGTGCTGAGGAGTTAGAATTCTAGTCTGAGATAAAAGTGGCCTTCAACAAGGTTAAGTAGGGCTGTCATGTCAGACTTCATGTTTTAAAAGATTGCTCTCAGGACTGCTGGAAGGGAAGAAGGATTCATCGCTTTCTCTCCCAAATTCATTTATCCAAAATATTTTTGAGCCCCGTTTTGTGTATAAAATCCTGTCCAAAGTGTTAAGAGGTTTACAGAGACAAAGCTAAAAGAGTGGAGGAAAGGAGCAGCAGGATTAGATTGATGCCCCAAGGAGAAATCAAAGCGTGGGAACTCTAAAAGTAATTCTGAGAGTAAGGATTGGGTAAAGAGATGGGGAGGTTTCACAGAGAAGGGAGCATTTGAGCCAACTCTGAAGAAGTAAAATTTTGTCTGCTGGTTGGTGTTGGGGAGGGGAAGAGGGAAAACCATGAGGGAAGCACTTATCACAGGATCTGACCTATGGCAGGCCTTCAGTAAAAGTTAGCAGTCTTGTGGATCTGGCACTGAGGAGTCCGCAGATGGGGCTCCTGCTCTGCGTGAGCAGATGGGGAGGGAAGAACAAGACAACAAACAAGTAAGCAAACAGGACAGAATCAAAAAGTGACAAGTGCTAGGCTTTGAAATTAAAGTGGAATGATGCTCTGCAGTCTCCAGTCCAATTGAATTTATTTCCAAGTCTCAGATTTTATCACACCTTTTCAATTCCAGGCTTCTTCTCCCACCCTCATCCTGGTCTCTAATTGAAAGATAATCAATTGCATGCTCTTCCTGAAGATGTCCCTTCCTCCAGAAAGCCTTACAGACCTCCCTCCCTGCCACCAAGCCTAAGATCGAGACTCTGCTTCTGTTTCCATAGGAACCTAATAGGTTCCCACTCAAAATGCTCATCAAACTAGACCTTAATTGTTTACAATCTAGGGTTAGAAAGTGAAATCATCAGCTGAGATGAAGGAAAGAGTGGGACTGGCTGTGCCTAGCCATGTTCCAGCAGTGCTGCAGGCTGATTGTGTCTATAAAGTGAATAAATGCATGCTATTCATTCAAATCCCCAAAGTTCTACTTCTCAGAGAGAGAATTTTTGCCAAATGATTTCCCCTAAAGAGTTAGAAATAAAGGAACACAGACTTCTTCCTTCTCTTCTTTTTCATACAGTGAAGTCCCAAAGGAAGCCAGACAAATGTGACTTGACAAGAAGGAATTCATAGGTCTTTATTAAGGCCTAACTAAATACACTTTTAAAAACTCACAATCATGATTATGAGCAAAGTTTTCCTCAACACATATGTGTCACAAAATCTTGGCCCTATTACTCAAACCACAAATTAAGGAGGATGACATGGCATGAATCTTACAGATGGAATATTACAGAATCTGAAACGTTTAGATTCAAAATTACTATTGACAAGGGACTACACCTAAATAGTAAGAAAATCGTACAATTTACTACAGTTAGTATTACTTTTTTACAATCCCACTAAAACCAGGCTCTTTTGTCTCCTCCTAATAATGTTGGTTCTCTAGTTCCTGTCATCTGTTTAAAAGGGCTTTCCCTGCAGCTATGTTCAACAGAGATTGCAAGTCGTGACAGATGCAGTCCACAGAGGTGTTTTGTTTGCTTCACCCAAGGAGGTTTTTGTTCTTTGAAATTTCAGCTGGCACTTTAAAACTGGTAGATTTTATGGTTTTATACTTAGGGTTTCCAGTGTTCCTTGAAAACATAGGAAAGCACTAAGGAGGGCACGTGATGGGATGAACTGGGTGTTATACTGTATGTTGGCAAATTGGATTTAAATTTTAAAAATAAAACCATGAAAAAATAATTTTTTTTAAAAAAAGGGAAAGTCTAACAACAATCAGTGGAGGTGAGCCATAGCAACCTCTTGGTTCACCAGAGGACAAATGCCCCACACCTGGCCTGCTTGCAGGCATTTGAGTTTTCTACCTCTCCTGTACAATTTAAGTCTTACTAGTGATGATGAACATAATATTCAATAATCAGTCCCCCAGCACCAATGAGAACCACTTATCCATTAGGCACAAAGAAAGGCTCAGGACCCACAAAGCTTTTAGGGACCTCCCAAATGTTAAATTTCTTTTGAAATGGGATAAAAGGTGGATTGGAGAGGCTGAAACAAAAGTGTCATTTAACAATACACACAATGAAAGAGACCTTACAAAGGATTGCCCCAAAGCCAAAGTCTCCTGTGGTGCGCCAATGGACTGTTTCTACTTGGTGGTGCTTTCATTCTACAGAATTTCTTAAGCAGCCTCTCCCTGCTCTCTAGACTTCAGGATAGAGGCTGGTGAAAGCATAATCTCATCCATTTGTTTATTTGGCAGTTACTGAATTTCTAGCATATGCCAGTGATGAAGGATAGTTGGAAGGCAGGCAGACAGGGAGGAAACCACCCTCCAGGATTTTACACCTGGAAGGAGCCCTCCATCCTTTCCCATGTGATAGATGGCAAAAACCTTATTGGATGACAGACACAGGGAGGGTTAATCCCATTAAAACAGTCCACCAAGAAGCCCACAGAAACCCCTAGACTTAGGAACTCCAGTGGCAACCCTCGCAGGTCCCCTCCTCCGGAACTTTGTACTATCACTTTGCTGTCACTCAATAAACCTTGCTTTTCTGGCCACCACTCTTGTCCACCTCTTCATTCTTCGAAGTGGTATGACCAAGAACTGTGGGCACTGACAGAGAAAAAAATCCTATGACACTTATGGGGGCTCATCCCAGGATCTCCACCATTAAGGACAACAAACCGTGAGTAGTGGGCAACAGGTATCTCAGTCTCTCAGTCTCTCTGTCTGCCCCCCCCCACCTCCATTTTGTTTGTTGAAACAGTGGGCACCCATCAGCCATGTAAGAGCATTTAGCGCAACTGCCATTCTGAAGTCTCCGGTGACAGGCTCTCTGGGCTCCTTTCGGACTGATCCCCAACAGAATTTGGGAATGTTGATTTGGTAAGGATTCAGAACTCCTTTCAGGGTACACCAGATGTAAGGGATATAGAAAAAAACAAGCAGCAATTGAGGGACCTGACAAAGGCTACCCTTTGGATACCCAAAGGCTCTCAGAGGGACCTCCTTCCTTACTTGACCATCCAGGCATCCAAAGAGAAGCCCCTCTACTATTTTCTCATCTGATTCTTCCCCTATGAGAACAAGTAGGAAAAACCAGGACAATCCCCCAGACATTCTCTTGTGAGTGGTTAGAGTGGCCTCCAAGGGATCTTAATCACATGAGATGTGACATGAGAAACTGTCTCCTGTTTGTGACCCCTCCTATCTTGGGCAGTACTAGGACACCCCTCAGACTGGCTACACCACCTATATGAAGGAATGGCCAGGTAGGGCAAAAGAACTAAGATCTAAGGGATCTCCCAACTTTGTGGTTCCATCAGGGCTTATCCCAGCTGGATTTCCCCTCCCTGGGTGTCCCATCTTGTCACTCCATGTGGCTATACAAGACAACAATTCTACTAAAATCTGATTAGGTGGCTATGCCCAACAGAACAACTCTACTAAAAAAAGTCTAGTTTGTCCATTGACTTCTAAGGGAGTCTTATGAGTGGGGGACACCAGAGTCATTCTCTGGAGGTAAGGCCAAGCCTGGGTAAACAAGACTACTCCCAGCACCCCCCAGAAGAGGACAGGGACTCTGGCTGTCAGTTGTGTGAGTAGCTAGGGCCACACATCAGGTAAAGATGAGGAGCTGAGGTGGAAGTTCTATTCTTGTAGATGGGTAATTCCTTGGCAAGAACCTTACTCCTTTAGAG